TGCTGGTCTGTTTTCTAGGCTGGGGAAATGACCACAGGATGAGTGCAGGGAACCAGTGACCGTGACATGGATCTGAGCTAAAACTTCAACTCATTTGACCTCCATACCCCTTAGTGGACACCACAGGGAAAGTGATATTTTGGATAACCTGGAATTAGGATCAATTCAGAGCCAGTGTCCAGTAGTTCCTCCCAGATCCGATTATTTATTTTTTCCACCGTGCTCTACCCCTTGAGAAAGACCTCAGGTGACTGTGGGAGGGTGGAGGGAAGGCCTAAGAGTTGAAACTTCCAATCATGTACTCGAATATTTCCACAATGAGACACGCCTTTCCTCTCTTGCAGGGATTCTAGGTATTTATTCTGGCTCAAATCTGGGATTTATTGCAGATCCATAGCTCTTTTTGTATGAATACAGTTAGATTTTTGTTCATTGGCTATAGAACTCTTTTGATTATTCTTATCAGGTGAGGAATTAGTAAATCACTGCCCTTTCTTCCTTCTAGACAATGGGCCCCCCCACCCTAGGTCTGCATGATTTTGACTCGCTGGTGCTGCCTTCAATCTCTCACCCATGACAGCAACCACACTCTCCTTTCTGCTGGTGGCTGAAGGTCACCCCTTGGCCTCTACCACCTCAGAATCCAATGATTCTCATCACTTTTGTTTTCCCAAATCACTGCCTACAGTTCCTGCTGTATTATAGTCAGGGTTTACAGGGAATGTATTCAACAGAGGACACATAATTTATAGGATTATTTTCTAATATTCAGCCAGAGTCTTATGCAAAAGAGTATGGGAGATCTGTCTGCACACTAGGGATCCAGGAGTCCGGTAGAGAGCCTGCATCCGTCAGCAATGTCCCACATGAGTCCACCTGAAGACTGAGTACACATGGTGAGGAACTCTGTGGTCTTTCAGTGGTCCATGAGAGAAAATAGTGAGAGGATTTAGAAAATAAAGAAAGAGATGATAGCCAGGGTCAGGTGGAGTTACCTCTTGCCTGATGAGCAGGAGGACTGCCCAAAAACAGTAGAGCAATACCCTGGAGAGGTTGGTTAATTTCCGCCTCGCTGCCCAGCAACCAGTTAACAAGTTATAATGACTTGTTTACTCCAAGGGGCTCCCATGTTCTCAGGCTGCCTTCATCCTGCACGTGTAATTATTTTCCAGCTTCAGTGGCTCCCAACAGCAAGGTCCCCCACAACAAGTCCATCTGGAGGTCCAGCACCCAAGGAAAATGTCTCATGCAAGTTTGTATCAAGGATCTGCCCTGGGAAGGCCCAAAAGTCAGTGGTAGAAGCAAGAAAGTCTGTGCCAGCAGAATGAAGGATCTGTGCGATCAGGCTGAGGGATCTGCACTGGAACTGGGAAGCCATGCTCAAGGTAATGACCAGAGCACCCCGGAAAAGAACTCAAGCTCCTCCAAGGATGAGAAAAGCAGAGTTCATATCAGGAAAACCAGCATGACAAACTTCCCCAGGACAAACATCAGCACACTACCTGCCCCTCTAGTTCTCTTTTTATACTGTTGGCAACAATTGGTCACATGCACCATCTACAGCCAGCACCAGGCTGATTCAGTTCAGCTGGGTGCTACAAGTAGACCATTAGTTAATCCACCACAGACTGGCAGGTATGGTCTATAAATGGTGATCACAGAGCTCTTCAAGGAAGCCAGAAGCCACTCATAAACTGACTTCACTCTAGGAAGACACTCACTGATTTATTGCTCACAGTTTTGGTGAAGGTGACAAGGGTTAATGAGACGGCATTTTGGGTCCTCGCACTGTGGGTAACCAGTCTCCTATGATAAAACTCTTCTAGTAGCATTCCAGTATTCATAAGCATTTGACCTTCCCTTCTACATTACACCGAGGTATCTATGACCCTCCTACTTCCCTCCCAGTGGGCCATCACTAGTAGGTGTTTAGCCAGTCAAACTATTGGAGCGCTTTCAAACTCCTGAGCAGGAGCATTAAATACTGATGTCTGCTTAGTGGTTTCATATCTATAAATTTGGCCTGAACCAACTTACTTTGGATGCCATGACTATCTCACAATTGCAGTGTCATCTGCCATGCGTTCCCTGGATTACTCTTAGTGCAAAAAAAAAAAAAGCTGTTTGGAAATGAGGCCCTGCATTCAAATTAAATCAACCCACTATCACGACTAAAAAGGTTAAAAAAAAAAAAAAAAACTCAAGTGGTTGTTTTAGATGCAGTATGTGAATCACCCTTCATAACTCGTCTCTATGCATTGGTGGCCTGTGAGTCCTGAACAGTGTGGGAAGGGGACGGCTCAGGCTTCGAGGCTGCCCTGCTTCATCACCGGGATGGCAAAGACAACTGAGACAGGGAATAGGGCAGCCAGATAAGGAGAATAAGAAGCCCTCCTCGTGTGCATCCTGACTTCCCTCCCTCAGAAAGAAAAAGAGGGGATCGAGGTTTTGGGGTGTGTGACACTGCACTCCTAAGAGGGTGGAAGGGAAGGGAGGCCAGGCTTTTACTGGTCTCTCAGATACTGATGCCCAAATGACAACGATCCCAGGTACAGGGGGAAGTGGGTGGCATTAAGGGTTTGGCATAGGCACAATCACCCATGGTACATGGACTGACATACAGGTGGGGCCCTTTGGGCCACTTCAGGTACAAATGACCATGTTCCAGCCGCTGAGAGCACTGCAGGGATTGGTGCTGTGACACCCCACATCCCTGCTAGGGCAGGAGGCAAGGCCCACTCACCACAAAGATTCAAGCCATAACACACGGACACAAAATTACCAAGGCGGCCATAGGCACAAGCCGTGTAGTCACAACACCCACCGGACACGGACTCCAGGAGAAACAGAGTGCCAGACTGCTGGGGGCCACGTGCGTGAGACTTTAAGTCCTGACCCGCCCAACCATCGGCAAGTACCCATGACGCCCACCAATAAAGCAGGACAAGCTCAGCAAAAGTCCGCTGTTCCATGGAAAGGGAATCC